GTGACTGATTGCGAAGCCGATAAAGCTACGTTGGTGATCGAAGAATCGCTGCATATCTGAGTTAAAAGGAACAAGCTATACGACGCTGACGTAGCTTCTCCTGACGTCGCTTAAGGTTGGCATCAGCTTATTGAACCTCCTTGATTCTCAGTGCGTACTGTAACGTCTTTTGCTAGCTTTCTAACCCGAAGGCTACTGTTACGCAGTCGAAACAACTGTATAATAAACGTTTGGTAGCATCAGCCTTTGCCTTGCGCCAAAATCCGTTGAATCGGAAACTTAGATTTACGAGTTTGTGGCGTAGGATCAAGATGAAATTTCGAAATCATATACATTATTATTTTTCATTATATTTCGGTTCTGCGTCAAAATAAAATAACAGCACAGTCATTCGCTGTAGAACCTTATTATGGCTGCTTTCCAGCTACGCTGAAAATAGTGGATGTGACTGAGGTAGTTTGCACAGAAGTACCGATTCAATAAATGTAAAACTTTTTTATGAGTAACTACGTTATGGCAGAATTATTAAAGAACAACTTTCAACGTTGAACGTTTATTATTTTAAAATAATCAGTCAACCATGAACTGTTGTGATGAAGATACTGCGGGTAGCGAGACCAGTCAATGGCACAGATTTGAACAACGGTTGCCATGTCCGGTCTTCTGTCAATGAGTACGCTCGCACGGTTTAGTTCTTCCGCTACATTCGTTCTAAAATGTACACAGCATTTGTCAGCAAGCAAAAGCTGAACGATAGCATGACTTAAATAGTCAGTCTTGAAATTTAAATGTAAAATTAAATTTTATGGTCTTGTCAGCACCTGGAACAACCACGTCAGAACATGACATGTTCTCAGAACGTCGACTTGCCACTCGTTTTTTGCTGGTTGCACCGAAGCACAGGGTGAATGATCCTTTCTCAAAGGAGTTAGCAATTAACAAATGAAATTTTTGTTTTGGACAGACAGACAAAACATTTGAGAAAGAAAGATAACGTAAAAACCGAAATTGAGGAAACAAATGAAATGATCGAAACTCCGCATATCTTGCAGAATGAAGTGCGACATGCAGCAAAACAGGTGAAGAGAGGAGGGGGTTCCTGGCGAAGACGGCACTACAGTGAAACTTGAGGAATCAGGAGTGAATCATCGGCCAAGATATTAGACTTTTTGGTCTCACCTGCTTGAAGGAAATGAAAATTATGGACGATTAGACTATCGCATCAGTTATTCTATTCTACAGAAAAGGAGAGAGAGTAACTGATCAGTTTGTTGTCACCGATCTACATGATCTTCACGAAAATACTGACGAACAAACTTCAAGAAAGCGTGGACTATGGATGACCAAAAGAGCAAGTGCGATTCAGAACAGAATTTGGTACAATGGGTCATCTTCAGGTGCTACAGTAAGCATTCAGACAAGCAACGCTTATTGGCCTCCTCTTTTCCTGGGATTCGTCGAAAAAGTCATCGACTCAGTCTGCCCTCGACCTGTATTGGATGGCTTGAACGGAGATGAAGTACAACGATCCCATCACGATGATTTGCAGAATGGTGTGGTTCGATAAACCTTCACGAAATATCGACAAATTCATAGCGGAAAAGGGGATCCGATAGGGTGATTCAATACCGCTGAAGCCCTCCACAGCAACCTCGAAGAGGTTTTTTAAGACGTTCCGTTGCGAAAATCTGAGTTTCAAAGTACACGAACACAGCTTGAGTTATACCGTTTGCTGACCATGTTCTGATCCTCAGAAATCTCCAGACGAATTACTGAGAAGATTATAAAAGCAGCACGATGCTAGCATCAATGCACGGCTGAAAATGAACCCCAGAGGAAGAGGTCAAGTGTAGAAACATGGTGACGCCGCGACGTGTTAAACTGAATGAACTCGGGCTTGCGGATGTGCGGATCTACGTATCTCCAGAACAGCTCGTCATTCAACAGAGAACTAACTGTGTGAAATGTGAAATGTGTGAATAGACAGTAATAATGGCATGGAGCACTTCTGTCAGGCTTAAAATGTTCCTACCGGGAAACTGTCCTTGCATTTGAAACGTGAAGTTTTCGAACAGTGTGTGCTTTCAGAGCTAACGTATGGATGGAAATAGAAGCTGGGCCTGAAAACCATTCATGAATTGCGGACTGCGCAATGCAGCATGGAAGGACGTATATTGGGAATAAGAGAAAAGGTAGGAAGACGAGCGGGTGGACAAGAGCACAAGCAAGAGTCTGAGACGTCATTGTCGGGCTGAAGAATTTAAACTGGCAATGGACATGACACGTTACAGGAAGAACCGACCGTCCCCTGATTGGAGCGACATTAAACTGGGTTGAAAGAGTGAGTAATCGGCCAGTAAGATCACCTTAGGATTGAAAGCTTCTCACATACAATAAATTACACAATACAGCAGGCAAAGTTTTATGATGGGAATAATGAGGAAATATGAGAAGACAAACCAATAGGTAACAGCAGAAACAGGAGTCAACGAAATCATTGCACAAGTGAAGAAGTTGAAATATCAATAGACAGGACACGTTGCAAGACGAACCGACCCCACAGACGTATTAGACTAGATTCCAGGAGACGGTAAATAGCATGTGAGAAGACCTCCAGATTGAGGGATGGAAGAGCTGAAAAAATTTGTCGGAAGAACGTGGCCAAAAACTGCAAAAGACACGATCTAATGGCCAAGTCTATGAGAAAACTTCCTCCAGAGGTGGATTGTAGAAGCTTATGATAATGAAGAGAAATTTTATCCCGCTCTGGAATTGAAGCCCCTGACCTCTGTTGCACAAAGACAATTAATCTGCACTGAGCACTGAACCTGAAACACATCATTTCCTCACCAACGCAAAAGAAACTTACTACAAAGACGGACGTGCTAAAAAACCGTCTGTAATCTACCTCGTTTACAAACGCCGTTAAGCACGGCGTGTGCAATGGTCCGAAGGTTTGCTAGAGTTCGTCTCTTTGTTTGCTCTTGTCGCTGCCTGTGCCGTCCTGGCGCGTCGCGATGTCGGTTTTAAATTGGATCAGCTCCTCTTTCAGTTCCTCATTTCTCTTTTCAAGCTTCTTCGTCTGAGCGCATATTTCCTTCAGCTGAGTGCCTTGCAATTGGTGAGTCATGAAGGGAGCCACGTCGAGTACCGGTGACAGGTCCGCCTCGCTGCTCATAGAGCTACTCAGGCTAAAGCAGTCGCTGAGGGTGGTGCCGTTGCTCCGCTGTCTCATCGCCTCCAGTTCCTGCAGAGTTCTGCGGTACGTCCCTGGTGAGTTGGAGAAGTCGAACTTGCACGTCGCTCGTCGACGGTCCTCGGCCAGGTTCGGAGAACCGTACACGTCCATCGCCGCGGTCAACGCTGTCGCGGCGACGTTCTCGTTCGACGACGTCGGTGACAGACTGACGGTCGGCATTTCGTACCGGCGTCTGTCGGAACTGGCTACGCCGAGCCCCTGACCTCCGGCCCCCCTGACCCCCCTCTTCATTGGTTGCGACCGGTCGTCGACACGCTCGATCGTCACGTCGCCACCCCGACCCCGGTCATTCAGTCGATAGTCGAGTAATAGCCGGCCGTGCAGAACTGAACCTAAGCGTTGTCCTCAATCAAATTTTAAAGATGCTGAACTCCTCCACTTGTCGTGCACAGCTCGAGGCGTAGACCTCGCTACAAGGCGGCTCCGGACAGCGGCGATTTGTTGCCGATCTTTTCTCAGCAGCGCTCCAATCACCTCACAGGGAGTCTAATTACTTTGACTGAAGTTTATGTCCGGCGTTCGAAATGGCAAAGCCCTATTCGTTGTTTTGGAAAATCGTGATTCGACGATTCGACGGAATTCTTCAGCCGGTCGCCTTCTAGAGAATGCCCAAATATCGACCGAAGCGAAAGCCGTAATCCCTGAAGCAGGTCAGCTGCGCCTGACCGGTTTATGGAGCGCAGTATAGTCGTCGGTTTCGAACAACCACTCTGATAGATTCAAATTTTATAAGTACTTTTCAATAATGGGTCGTGTTCTTTGAGAGGAAGAAATTGACGTTTACTCGCTTCGACAAACGGGTTTGCTATTAGCACGCAACCGTACACCATCTTCATAAAATATAACATACAATGTAGAAGATCTAAATGCTTGGGGCTTTGCGACTTAAAATTCAGCACAGCCATGCGTTTCTACTCTTGCGAACTGCTTCTGATCCTCGGGAAAGTTAGTACTCACCCGAGGCAAACCTCAGTGCGGGTGGGCTGAAGTGGCGTTGATCTCGCATCAGACATCCGAATGCAGGGACTACTCGTCTGAACTTTACACGTAAAGGATTACTGTCATCCGAGAACAGCGCTACACGGATTATGCATGAACTCTGTTCGGTAAACGTTGATCTCATTGATACGCGAAACATGATCGACTCGTCGACGCGGAATACCGAACATCGCAAATCATTCTATCGTTTGCAGACCGCAGAAAGCCATTTGGCAAATAAAGCCAATCATCTGTGCCAAGCTGCTGAAGACGAACTAACGAACCGTCCCCTCGAAGGTGGTACCGAGATTCTCAGCCACCCATCTAAGTAGAAAAATCCTTTAAGTCACTGGCAAACGCGGGATTCATGTGAACAGATCTGTCAAAACGGTCATTTAAATAATTCCTCACCTGTTCAACAATGTGAGCACTTGGGATCCGTTCCAGTGCAAGTTTCAGGGTGTTCTAATTTTTTGTCTTAATGTAAAGTTTATAAACGTTAAACAGTGATTTTGCCAGACACCATCATGAAAACGACAACTTATTCCATGAACTGGAAGCAAATCAGAATGCGAAAACTTTCATCGATGAATCGTTCAGTCGTCGACTGGAAATCGAACGTCAGCAACAACTGCAGAAGCAGTCCTCTCTTGATGAACTCAGTATCGAAAGAATTCAGGTGCAACAATGAAACGATTCATTTCAAGATTCAAGGAGAAAACAGTACAAAATCCTCAAACAACCCTAGTGAACTTCCATACGAGAAAGATGTCATATAAAGTAGAAGAATCCCTGGACCGCTTACCGTTTGAATTACACCTACGGGGAGATACTTCCGAGGAGCCAGAGGGAAATTGAAGCACCGGATATCTGGAACACATAGTTTGTCTCAGCAGAGCAGACGAGGGGAAGATTCTACCGGTGCGGAGCACAGCATGCTACGGAACCACATCGCACAATGGTACTGCTAGCAACATTGCCCGTATGGAAGCAGCCTAGAGCAAGAGGATGAACTTCGATGCAATCATAGCGGAAAGAACAAACAAACGGTAAGAGGTACAAGTGGAAAGGAAGTTATGCAATTACTTCAGCATTACTGCTTCTCTTAAGCATACAAGTCGTCAAGGAGTATGATGTTCCAATCTCTGGTCGCTTTCATGCTCATCGGAAAGCTGTCACTATTCGGAAGGTTCTGAACACAGGTCACGACTCCGCTTTAAAAACAAAATTCGTCAACTAACGGAAGGAGGCAACTACCTCAAATTTTACCTTTCCTGCAGACGGCCCACCACCTTCAGATGCAGACTCGCTGTGACTTTTGTTACCGATTCAACAGCGGCCGTGAAATCACAGGTTCTAAACTAAACTATTAAACAATGAGGGAAAAATGCCTATCCAAACATAATTATTTATAAACTTTCATAGGAGCAAAAATGTGGCAATTGTCCAGAACACTGCATAGGTGTTTGTTTATATAGGAATCATCATCGAGTGGACGCGAGCGGAATGATTAGAACTAGATAGAAAGACATGAATGATATTGAACGTATACGGATGGTACACCCAAAGGGAGCTATGTCCTTGTAAAGGAGGAAGAGAGCTTCGTAGTATCTTAGACGCGCTGGCTCTAAAGTCATAATCTCTCAAACAATATCTGGCAGAGCAGAAAACCACTAGGAAAATATGGAGAACTCCGGTACCACTGTTGGGGAAATAAGGAGCTTCAAAAACAGTATCCTCGCCAACTCGGTGAAGACGAAAACAGCATCCAGACTTCGACTGGCTATGAGAAAACAAGTGGAATTCGTGGCGGAGCGGAAAGCGACACGAAGCGGCCTTCTAATGGCGCCAAAGACCAAACACTGATCACAGACTCATACAAAGCGAAGACCCTGCACACACATTCAGAATAGATCTTCAGGAAGTTTCAAGTGAAAGATGAGTCCGTGATCGATATAATTTCCTGAGGTAAAAACTTCACAAATAGAGAAATATCAAGGAAAAATACAACAACGTTGCAAGAATGGTCCACCGGCGTTTGTGCAGGCAATCCGGCTTATTAGTGACAAAGCAATGGTGGAACATCAAGCGAAATCGGTGGAAAAGACTCTAGGATTTCCAAATATGAACTGAGGAAGAAATATCAGCTCATCGTCCGGATATCGTGTTGACAGACAATGTGAAGGGGGAAGCACAAACCGTTGATGTTGTGTGCTCAGCTGACCCAACATTGGTGTCAAGGAGAGCGAAAGATTCTGAAGTATCGAGCATTAAGGATGAAAGGAAAAGGGGTCCGGAAAATAAACGCGAAACTCGTTCCTGCAGTGAGCGGTGGCCTCAGAGCAATGTAAAGAAACCATAAGCGTCTACTGAAGTCAATTGATGAAGCAGCTCTGGAAGAACTGCAGAAGACGATCCTGCCAGGATTTGAGAAGAGCAGTGCAGCTCACTAACCCTTAGTCGAGGGTTCAAATTGAAGCGATGTTCATTCCGCTTATATGATATCTCATAGAGTGTGCCTACAAAAACTTTAATTTAAATTCAATCCCTCAATGCCTTGGAAACTTTCGCTGGATGAATGGCTAGTACTCTTGACAACCGCTTCGATTTTCGTCCCGAGCTCTTCAACTACTCTAAGTACTGAAATTGGATTGCAGCAATGATAGCTCGATTGTCGTCACCCAGAGACGCCTGCTCAAATCATCAAGTCGTCCGGTGAGGTCCTTTTATACAATTCATTCACTTCTCTTTGGCCTTGGACCCGTTGGAAGTCAATGCAAATTATAGAAGGACAAAGAACGTAGGACTAAAACCGCAATGGCCAACGATGTGCATGACAGACATCAGTCTACGTTTCAACCAAGTTTACGGCATACAGTTTGGTTCAGTTGACTGCGGAAAGAAAAGTAGCGACTTTCCTCCCTATTCCCTCTCTATTATATACTCAGAGAGAGAAAAAGTAGGTATTCTCTGTCACGGTTTATTCTAGCTTATATACTTGCGCAATCGATGAGAATTTTTTCAGATTTTAAACATTTCTCCAGGGGACCGGTTTGGTCGGCTCACAAGTGCACAACCGTACAACCGTACTTCCGGGAACATTTTAGGAGCTGCAAGTGTTTGTGTGCAAAATAGTACAAGGTGGTTATAAACTAGTTGCGATGATTTGAACACTGACTCACACAGGCTTAAACACACATATCTTATGAGACCATAATCCATTAAGGTTTTGCAGAACACGACTCGACCCTCTAGCTTCCTGGATTACGGATATCCCTCAAAATGATTTGTCAATTGGCTGGAAACATTCCTCAGTTGTTGTTGAGCGATTGCACGAAATCCGTTTTCGTCTTGGATTTATGTTTATTTAAATAATGTTGTTGACGATGAGCCAATGGCAGTTTTTATCTGCCCCCCATA